CCCCCTTCCCCAAAGAGCCGGCCCCATCCATTGCAGCTCTCCGCTCACGTAAGCTTCCTGCTGTGCCTCTGTAGTCCCAGCGGGATTGTACCTTTGCAGTTGTGCGCAGACTCCTGATTCTTCCTGCTTGTTCCCCTGTTGCGTGTGTGTTTGTGCAGACTCTCAAGATGGGGACCTTTCATGGGGAAGTGAAGGAGTCTCCCACATCGTGCTGTTGCCCAGCCATCCTCGCTGTCTCCCACTTCTTTCCAGGCCTACCAGCCTGGGCCACCCAGTCTGCCTGGCCCCTGTCTGCGCCCCCCCAGAGTCCCCACCAGTCCCCTCAGGGTCCCTGCCACCCCTCCCTGACCTGTGCCCACCTTGCAGGCATCCCTTTTCGGGCCGTGATGTGCCCATCTCTAATGGCTCGGGTTTCCTGGTGTCTCCGGACGGACTCATTGTGACCAATGCGCACGTGGTGGCAAACCGGCGGCGTGTGCGGGTGAAGCTGGCCAGCGGCGAGCAGTATGATGCCGTGGTGCAGGATGTGGACCAGGTTGCAGACATCGCTACCATCAAGATCAAGCCTAAGGTGTGCATCACGGTTGTGGAGACGCTCCCTTCATTCCCTCCCATCTGCTCACTGACCTCCTCTCTTCCAGCACCCGCTGCCCACCCTGCCCCTTGGGCGCTCCTCCGAGGTGCGGCAGGGAGAGTTCGTGGTGGCCATGGGCAGCCCGTTTGCCCTGCAGAACACCATCACTTCTGGCATCGTCAGCTCTGCCCAGCGGGGCAGCCGGGAGCTGGGCCTGACCACCTCTGACATGGAGTACATCCAGACCGATGCTGCTATCGATGTAAGGGGAGCTTGCGGTGCACAGCGGGTTGGCACCTCATCCCGGCTGCCCTCTTTGGGGAGGGGGGAGCTGGGGAAGGGCTGTGGGTGCCGTGAGGTCAGAGGAGGCTGGACACAGCACTGGGAGACTAAGGGATTCTGGCCGGTCACCTGGGCGCTGACTGCGTTTCTCGGCCTGACCCTGTTCTCTGGACTCTGCCTCCCTGCCGCGGGTCCTGCTGTGTGAGGATGTCACTTTCATGGCCTGTTTACTGCTCTCTCCTCTGCTGCAGTTTGGGAACTCCGGGGGCCCCCTCGTCAACTTGGTAAGTTCTGCTTGCACGCTCAGTGGCCAGGGCAGAGAGGTGCCATGTGCCTGCTGGTCTGTGCCCCCTGGGGCTCGATGCCCCTCGGTGGGAGCGCTTGTGGGTGCTACGGCTGCTGGGAGGGAGGGACTGTGCATACATCAGGCTCCTTGTGAGGAGGAGCAGGGGATCAGCCCAGTGTGGGAGCCCTGTGCAGCGTCTGAGCCAATGGGACTGTGGCGTGGTGGAGCCGAGACCTACCCTGGTGAGGCCGGCAGGGCAGAGGGAGGG